GTGTGTGTGTGTGCTTGTGTGTGCTTGTGTGCTTGTGTGTGCGCGTGTGTGTGTGCGCGTGTGTGTGTTTGTATTTTGACAGAGAGGCACAGACATAGAGAAAGACAGACAGAGAGGCCCAGACAGACACACAGAGACACACAGAGAGAGAGACACACACACAGAGACAGACAGAGAGAGAGAGACACACACACACACACACAGAGAGAGAGAGAGAGAGAGAGAGAGAGAGAGAGAGAGGGAGAGAGAGAGAGAGAGAGAGAGAGAGAGAGAGAGAGAGAGAGAGAGAGAGAGAGAGAGAGAGAGAGAGAGATAGATTACTTCTTTTTTTTTTTTACATACATGTATATAATTTTATGGCCTTCTAAAATAGAGTCGATTGCTTTCAAGACAAGGTGCATGTAGCGGCTGTTGTTATAGGCGTGGCTATTCGGACTCGAGTCTAAATAGCATCTCATGGCTATTCGGACTCAAATTCCAATGCGCCTGCGCAACCACCGGGTGTGAAGCGGACAGGCTGTCTGTTCTTCCTTGGGCTTCCTCCGCTTCTGCGATCTGACCACAATTTTTCGACACAAGTAGATCAATTAGTCATTTAGTGACGTCAAAAGTGAACAACAGTTGCAAAATCGGAATTACTTGCTATACAACAAAGGAAGACGGGGAAACGGCAATCTGGGTACATGTGTTCTGAGTCTGAGGTCAAAACAGTGAAAGAAATTGGAAATCACGTCGTATATAGATCACGAAGGGGTTAATTCAAAGCACCTACATGATGCTACTGAAATTTTAGAACAACAAAGGATTATAATTATCAATCTGTCCCCGTCGTTTTATGCAAGAAAAATTATGAAATTATGCGAACTGAGCCCAAAAATGTGAAATTATGCGATTCTGTTAATTTTAACAAAGAATGATAAAGGAAAATAATCAGAAATTATGCAAAAAAATGATCAAATTTTGCTAAATTATGCAGGGTGCATAAAAACCACGGGGACAGATCAATAGGTAGTCTTAATCCGCTTTATTTGACGAGAAAGAGAGACTCACTGATCAACTGGAAGTCCAGTTAGAAATTAAGAAGAGAAAAGTTAAAACCCTTCCAAGGGGAACAAACTAAAGTAAGTCATTCAAAGAAACAGTAGTCTAAAGGAAAAGCTTTTCCAACAGCATATATTACATTGTGTTCAAATGAAAAAAAAAAGAGGACAAAACAATACAATCATATTCTGATAGTGTTAGACAATCAACAGTCCTTCTACAGTCTGAATTAAGCAGGGGCATCAGTTAGTAAAGTCATCAAAATTGTCCTTTCTTGGGGACAAATAAACTGCAAATTAAATTTTAAAACAATAATTAAAGGACTGCAGAAGAGTCAGTTTGGAAAACCATCAACCAATCGGTAAGTCATCCTGGAAACCGACTCGTTTGTTTGCGCTATAGCAGTATTTTATTTGCAAAGTTAAAGAAGGAAAAAACATGGGGTTTTAGAATAGTGTCCTTATAACAGACTTCTTGTTATTTCAGAACTTGTTATAAGTGGACTTCACTGTACTTTCTTGTAACACTCCTAATCTTCGGCACTTATATGACGTTATTGTGTCGCAAGTGCCGTAAAAGTCTTACTGAAACAAAAGACAAGAACACAGCACATTTTCATCCCTTTTTTCTCTTTATTTATTCGAAAAATTAGATTCTTAAAAGCGATCTCTTGACAATAATGGCAGCAAAGAAGACCAAGGAAGTTACTTGATTCTCTTAAATAAGACCCTCGACGCCAGATTTGCCTTCGGGGAGCGAACAACTTGGGCAAGGACATCTTTCTCCACAATCTCCACACTTTCGTGGATGTAGAGCTTTCTGCCGTCTTTGGGCTCAATGAGAATATGGGAAAATACCTTGTTCTTGCTGAACTCTGTCATCATGAACTGTAGAAGAGACACATTTTTAAATTTTCAGTTATTTCATCCTTCAACGTTCCTGCAGTGTTGGTGGCTTTCCTATTTTTGTTTGTTTGTTTGTTTGTTTGTTTGTTTGTTTGTTTGCTCATGTTTTTTTATGACGGCACGGGCAGAAGACATTATTAAGAATGTGTGTTTGAGTTTTAGTTTCAGTAAAAGTTTTACGGAATTTGCAACACAAAGAGTCATATAAATATAAGCGCCGAAGATTGGGGGTGTTACAAGAGAAAAGCAAACACAATAAAGAAGGAACAGAGATCAGGACAATGGATGTTTGATAGGAAAGAAGGAGCAAGCCTCACCAGAGCACCCACCAACCACCCACATGCTTGTGTGAGTGTGTGTGTGTGTGTGTGTGTGTGTGTGTGTGTGTGTGTGTGTGTGTGTGTGTATGTATGTGTATGTGTGTGTTTGTGTGTGTGTGTGAGAGTGTGTTTGTGTGTGTGTGTGTGTGTGAGTGTGTTTGTGTGTGTGTGTGTGTGTGAGTGTGTGTGTGAGTGTGTGTGTGTGTGAGTGTGTGTGTATGTGTGTGTGTGTGTGAGTGTGTTTGTGTGTGTGTATGTGTGTGTGTGAGTGTGTTTGCGTGTGTGTGTGTGTGTGTGTGTGTGTGTGTGTGTGTGTTGGTGCGTTTAGGTTGCGGGAGGGGGGGGGTCTGTTGGGATGCTTGAAATTCCACTAGTATTGTAGACCTAGTTTTGTACTCCTTATGCAGATTCTGGGTGGCGTCGGTGGCCCAGTGGGTAGGCTATCTGGCTCGATTTCGTGGATTTGTGGGTTCGGGGTTCGAGCCTCAGCTGTGCCCGATGTTCAATCTTTGGGAAAAGCACTTTAAACAGATTTCCCATTGGCTCGGTCCTTTCGGGGATGAACGTTAAACTCGGGGGTTCCGCTTTTTATAAATGGCTTAATAGTGTTAATAAGAGCGCTAAATTTAAACCCATACCATTTCGCCATTATGTCGATTCTTCTATCGCCTTGTGACATAACCCATATTACAGTCAGTATAATAAATATAGTACCCTATTTACGCTACGAGGTCGTTAAACGTATACAAGTACAATAGCCCCCCCCCCTCTCTCCCCCCGACCACCCAGTACCGCATCACACCATGCCCAAAACGTGGCAAACTCTTCTCTGCCAACATTGGTTTATCGGCCTCATAATATCCTGTCATCTCATTATACGTTCATGTTAGAAGTACATATACTTGTTTGTACAGTATTGTCATTTTAAAACAAAAATACAGTAGAGCTGTGTTTGAGATGTGGTGTTCCTGCGGAATGGCGAGAATTAGCTGGAAAGTTAAAAAGGCTATCAATGAGGTCTGTGAGATTCTCCATACAAGACAAACGCCTGTTTACCGCAACAAAATGCAGAAAATACAATATTTTGGTAGCTTAAAGCGACGCCAGACCATTGTGAAAGAGGCGATTGATGAAGGATGGATATGGGGAGGAGAGCCAGCGGTAGACAAAGAACATGGATGGAAAACATGAAAAATAATAAGGACTGGTCTAGTTATAGTAAAAATGTGCAACGGCAGCTCACGACCGTAAAGGATGGAGGGCCATTACACGTCAACCTCTGAGTCAGAGATGACACCTTCAGGTATTCCAGGTAGCCTATTATGTCATCTTAAATCATATATCTCTTCTGCGTGGCTGGTTGGCGGGTGCTCTAGTGTAGTTTGCTGTCTTTGTCCTATCAAACAACTATCGTCCTCATCTCTCACTCTCTCCTCCTTCTTTTTGTGTGTTTGTTACTCTGTTGTAACACCTCTAATCTTCGCACTTTTATGACCTAATTGTGTTGCAAGTGCAGTTAACACGCTTACTAAAACAATTTCTTCTATTTCGCCTCAGAAATACTCTCTTCAGCAGAGAAATTGGTCATCGAGATATTGATCTACGAACTATATTATTATTATTATTATTATTATTATTATTATTATTATTATTATTATTATTACTATTATTATATTTATACAGCTACATGATGTACCACCATGCATAAACTTTTACCAGCATAGGGTGTGTAGTGTAACGGTTAGGCGCTCCGCTCTAGCACGCAGGAGACCCGAGTTCGATTCCGGAGCGGGGAGAAAATGTTTCGGCAGGGCTGTTGTATCCCTCTCCTCAGGTCTGGTTAGCTCTGACATGCAGGCTGGGAAGCCCACGGCCTCCTGCTGACTAACTTACTTTTTACTTTTTCATCCTCTGTTGCCGTTAAGCGTCGAGGGGAGATGCAGTTTTCTATAGTAGGCCAGCTTCGCAGCTCTTTCAGTTATGACGTTATGTTTTCTTAGGGTTTCCTTTACACCCTCGATCCACCTTTTGCGTGACCTTCGAGGGTGACTAAATGATCTAAATAGTGTCGTTTGGGGCGTAAAAAGCACCAACATATTTTTTCTTTAAAAAAAAGAAAGAAAATAACCCCAACACATTTTTTCTTTAAAAAAAGAAGAAACAAAAACCCCCCAACTAAACCAAACCAAGCGAAAGAAAAGCAAACAAACAAAAACCCAAACTCACCGTCTGTTTTTTACTCTCTATCGGAATGAAGTACTCATAGGGCTCATACATTTGGATGGGTCCAAATTTGGGCCGCATCTTGTCACTGAGGTTGGGGTCATCAAACACCATGCTGACAACCACGCCCCCGTCCTTCTCGCTGATGGTCAGCGTGTTTCCCAGCTTGGCGAATGCTTCAACTTCAGAATCGTCTTTGATTTCATAACCTTGTTGGTGGTGGTTGGAAAGTAAATT